GCTTGAATATTATGAAATAGGTGTTTAAATTATATGATCATAATGATTGATCAATATAAGTCATTGGATGTATTGTAATTTGTGATTTGGTGTTTTGTGAAGATCATACAGAATGATATCAAATCATATAAAACAATATGAAGAAAAAAAAAATCATATAGTGGTGTGTGATGATCAGAAAAGCTCAAATAAATAAAGTAGAATAAATCACACAAAAATTAAGAGAAAAACACATAAATCAAAGTTAAAAGAAAAAAAAAACATCACAAATTTTTTTAGATATAAATAAAATCAACAATGTAAGCATTCATAAAATAATTGCAAAATAAGAACACACAAAAATCTTGTGAAAAGATCACACACAAGAAGAATCAATTAATTTCAACAAATTTTCTTGGAATGAAATTACTTTTTTTTTAAAAAAAACTTTAGTAAGAAATGAATTGATTTCACCTAACCCAACTTACGCTTAGGTAAAAAGTGACTTTCACAAAATTCTAATTCAAGGAAAAATTGTAGAAAGAAATTCAATCCATTTCTATTTTCTTGCATGAAATATGTATAATAGAATATAAGTACATAAAGATGAAACATGAATCATGATTTTAAAGTCAAGCATTGAAAACTATTAATTGACATATGGGTTTCCTAAGATTTAAAGATTTACAAGGATGGTAAGCAAATTTATTTTAGGGCCTTTTATTAATTTTCGGGCACTTTGCACATCTTTTGATTTTTGATAAATTATATAAATATTTAATTTTGGTGTACATTGCACATCTTTTCTTTTTGGTCTCATTTTGTGCCTCTTTTTTTATTTTTGTATTTTTTTCCATTCTAAATCTTTAAAGACTCAATTGTAAGATCAACTTTCATATATAAGAGAAGAAAACTCACGCTCTTATATAATGATCAATAAACTACAAAGAAAATCCCATCCTATGATAAGAATGAACTACCTGATTAAGAAAATTAAGAATTGGATTCATCAATTTGTAAAAGATGCCCATGAGATCGAACAAAATAGGAAGATGAAGAAGATTTTAATTTCTAAGTTCAATTTTAATTAGATATAGATTTTGATTTTAAGAAAGTTTTTGTTCTGTAGGAATGAGAGGATTGATCATAGGAGTCAACCACAACTTAATATTTTAAGTAAAATAGAGGTATGCTTTTCATTTAATAAAAAAAATTAGTTAGTGTTGTGAGTAGTGATTTGATTCTTTTATGTGTGTTGATTAGAGAGCATTCACAAAGAGATAAATAACATGAAAAATAAAAAATCATAAACATGAATGCAAAATAAAAGTACTAAGTGTAGTATGTAAAACCAAAAGAAATCATTAACATTTTAAAATTTTTAAATCTTATTTATTCAACCACTTTCCAAGTGGTGTTGTTTGCTAATGTTACCTTTGCATCCAGACCTGGCCTCTAGTGTGATGAAATTCTTCAGATCACCAGTGGTATGTCTTGAGTATCCATTGTCCAAGTATCATATGCTTTCACAAGGTCTTTTGTGAGAACACCCCTACGAAGGTCATTAAAAATTAGATTTAGGAACCCAAGTGAATTTTGGTTCCACCTTATCCTTGCAAGAATGAGACAAATGAATACCATATTATGATGAATGAAATTTTATCCTCCACACTAGATGCGTTCTAAGTGGATAGTGCAAGTGTAGGCAATGTGATATAGCAAGACAAAAGAGTAACACTTAACACCAAGAAAATTGTTAACTAATCTTTTTTGGATAATGATGCCTCTTCCTAGGGCTATGTGATGCATGCTGTGATGAAAGGCTATGAAGAAGTGCTAAGGTAGTAGGTGACTTATTATTTTTAAGTTCTATTAATTTTTTTGTGGAAATTTATTACCACTTTCAAGAACAAATACTTTTATTTTTAATGCAGGCTCACTTTCATCTATTACAGTTGCACATACTTCTAATTCTTTGAATGATTATTCTAATTCAATATGCTTTTTCTCTAAGAATTCATGTGCAGTAAATTGATCATTATGCTTTTTATTTAATGCACCATATTCATCAAATATAGCCAAATGATTATTATCCATTATGGAATGATATATTATAAGACAATCATGCTATTCTTGTAAATTTGAAAAATCAGATTTATGACTAGCGTACATTTTCTTAAGATTCTTACATGTATTAAGAATTTTTTCCTAAACTTCAAATAATTCATCATGAAAAGCTCACATACCTCCTCTTGCTCAGACTGAACAATATAACATCAAGCTATAAGGAATAAATTTGTTACCTCCTCTTCTACTTTTGTTTAAGAATAGTCTAAAAAAGAATCTACCCAAAAAAACTTTTGAGTTCATTCCTATCCCTTTTAGAACTTCTGTTTCTCTTAACCATTTTCATTAATCGGGTGAGTCTTTAGATTGGGGAAATCTGTCTTCAAGCACCCTTGCTCCCATCATTCAAAACATAGAACATTAGATGACACTCTAAAAATTTATTTATTTTACCTTTATTATACTACTGATAATGCCTTTGTTTATTCTTTAGGAAGCTTTTAAATTGTCATGTCATCTTTGCAATGTTATATTCTTTTTGATTTGTTGAACTATCACTTTCTAGATTAATTTTTTTCAAACCTATTACCTTATCCTTTTTCTTTTAACCTACATAGATTTACCTTTGACTCACTCCTTGCTTGTAGGCAATGAGTGATCAAAATAAGTAGTCAATAAAGTAAAGGTTCAAAAATTTTGATTCAATAATTATAATTATTTTAGCATCATAAGAACTAGGTAGTCATCATAAAATCTTACTAACTTTTTTAGAATTTGATAGTTCTCTTCCTAGTGCATGCAAGGATGTTAGTAACATGGTGAACCTAGTTTACATTTTATATACAATCTCATTAGGTTTCATTAGAAAAAATTCAGAGTTGTGCAGTAGAAAGTTTAGCCTGGACAATTTAACTTCACTAGTTGACTCATAAGTAATGAATAACCTATTCGGAATTTAGTAAGAGAAAATCTATTCAGAATTTTGAATTTTGGCTCCGCATTTTTTATGGCTGCTGACGTTCGCCGGCCGGCGACATCGGCTGGTAAACAAACGACGAGTCGACGTGTGATTCTGACTCCTTCAATCAATCTGAGACCGATCATGAATTCTTCTTCTCCGCCTGCTTACGGCGATAAATGTTCTAACAAGGTGGATGATAAAGCCCGATATGGAAAAGCTTTGGTTATCAAGGAAGGTGGTCTCTTAAATCTGAAGAAACCAGTGGAGGTGACAGGAAAAGGAAAAGCTGTAGCTACTGAAGATCATGAGATTTCCAAAAAATTTAAATCTCCTATCTAGGCAATGATGAATGCTAAAAGATTGTCTGGTGAGACGTCCTCTCCCAACTTGATGAATTGCCTCAATCATTCCAGGGATGAGTTAGAAGCTAAACTCACATTTCAAAATGTTTGTCATCTTGAAAAAGAAATTTCAAACACAAATCCAATCCTAAAATCTAGTGATAATTTGGATCTGGGAAATATCAGAACTAGTGAAAATGCAGAAGTAAACAAAAATCTGGGAAATACTATTCAAAAGGAGGTATTTTCAAAAAACTCTCTGAATTGGAATCCTAATATTTGGACAAAGAAGAACAACATCAATGTTTCAGAACTAGATTTCTGGAAAGACTTCACTGATGAGGACAATGTTGTTAAAATTCATATCCCCAAGGAACAGGAAAATGCAGTGTATCTGCAAAATTCTCTTGTGATTAAGGTGTTCGGTACCAATACTCCTTTTCATATAATCTTCTCATAATTGAGAAGACAATGATCTCAATTTGGAAAGTTCAATTTAACCATTCTTGGATTGGGATGGGTTCTATGTGTTTTTGATGAAAAAAATGCATTAGAATCTGTTTTAACAAGTGGACCATGGTCTGTTAAAAATAATATCATTGGAATGGATAAATGGTCCCCCACATTCTCTCCTTCTTCTTTGAAAGGACTTACATCTCCAGTATGGATCAGATTACCAAACCTCCCCCTACATTGTTGGGATGAAATCAACATGTGCAGAATTGCATCTATAGTGGGGAAACTGTGTATGATTGATGGCAACTCATTCCAATGGAATAGAAGGGAATTCGCCAGGATTTGTGTTCGGATAAACCAGGATACAAAGCTTCCTCTTGGAATTTGGGCTGAAGGATCTTCAGGTAAATTCTATCAAAGAATTGAATACGAAAAAGTCCCAATTTTTGCTTTTCCTGTGGAAGAATAGGACATTTACTAGATCAATGTCTTGAAAAAAATGTTGAAATACAGTCCTCAGTTCAAGATGTTAATGTGAAATACAACTCGGATTATCCTCAAAAAGCAGACAGATGTCAGGAGATTAATAAGGAAGAATACGGTCCATGGATCCATGTCAATTTCAAGAAGAATAAATTCAAAAAGCAAGGTCCAATTCATAAAAATAATTCCCAGAATAATGGTAATATTCAAACAGGAGTTGTTGACAGAAGAGCAAATTCCAAACTGATTTAGAAAGTTGTGGAGAAAAAATCTGATGGAGACAATGGCAAACAAATCAACATTCAGGATTACTCTTTGGCTGAAAAAGAGAAGGAACATTCTGAAAAAGAAGTTATATCTATCTCTGTTCTGGAGGAAGCAAACTTTCGGATGGGTATGTCAATTTCTTCTCCACCTATTCCCGAAGATCTTAATAAATTTTCTGTTTTAAACAATGTTATTGAAGATGGCGAGATTGTGGAACTAGATGATAATAATGCTAATACTTCTATTGGCTGTGATTTTGTAAATTCCCTGAGCACGGTGGAAGGGAATTGTAATAACAATTCTGAATCAATCAAAGATTCTAGTTTTAAGAAGAAAGGAGTCAAACAACTCAAAAGTTTAGGCCCTATCAATTTGAACTTAAGAAACAGGAGAATGGGAGATCCTCAAATTAAAAAAGTGGGGAACTCTTCCCCGCTTTTTAAATAATGTCTTCATTTGGATTCTGGAACTGCAGGGGAGCTAGAAAGAGGAGAGCTTCCTTGTATTTGAAGGAGATTGTCAAAGGAAATGGAATTTTATTTATGGGGTTGCTAGAAACTAAAGTCACTTCCTTTTATAGAAGTGATATTGATAAATTAACTGGACCTGGATGGGATTTCTTTCAAGTTCCCTCTATAGGGAAATCAAGTGGATTATTAATAACTTGGAATACTGCTATGGCTTCATTCTCAGTTTTTGAATCTTCAAACCAATTTATAATTGGGGACATAGATATCAAAAACAAAGGGAGATGGAGGATTGCTACTATCTATGGTAGCTTGGATGCTTACAAAAGGATGAATTTATGGGAAAAATTACAGCTTTATAACTCCAATAACATTGCCATGGTCATTGGAGGAGACTTCAATTGTATTCTCAACAAAAATGACAAAAAAGGAGGCAGGAAATTTGTTTATTCAATGAGTGCCAAAGAGATGGAAACTTTTATCTCCTCAAAAGATTTTCATGAAATAAGGAGCATTGGACAAAAAATTACTTGGAGTAATAATAATTCTGGGAATAACAAAATTCTTGAAAGTCTGGATAGGTGTTATCTGAACTCAGTGGCGTTAAGCTCTCATCAACATATGGTTGTCAAACACCTTGCAAGAATAGCCTCGGACCACTGTCCAATCATCTTGAAATTTCAGAATTTCAAATCTTACACTTCCAAAGTGATTAAATGTGAAGATGTTTGGGTTAATAACCCGGCTACTAAAACAATTGTTAAAAAAATCTGGAGCAAAAAAACTGAAGGAGATTTCGGCCAGATTTTAAATAAGAAACTGAAAATAACCTTGAAGAATTTGTTCTTTTGGAGTAAAGACAAGCATAAATCCTTAATGGAAGGGAAAGAATCTCTCAACAAAGAAATTTTAGAATTGCAGGAGAAAGATTGCAATTTTGGGCTATCAGAGGAGGAATACTGGATACTTAAATCTAAAGTTGAAGAGCTTAATTCCATTTTGGCTCGTCTTGATACTTGGTGGAGGCAACGTGCTAAGGTGAAATGGGCTTTGGAAGGGGATATCAACTCTAAATTTTTTCATACTTTTGCTAGTGCAAGGAAGAATGCTAATTTTATAAACAAAATCAAAGATGATAATGGAGAGGAGACGGAAGATCAGCTTTTAATTGAAGATGTTATGTTCAAATTTTTCAAAAATAAATGGAAATTCAGAGCTTGCAAACTTGAAGGTTGGCCTAATAATTACTTTTAAATGCATGAAGAAGACCTCAGCCATTTAAACAAAGAATTCAATCTTGAAGAAGTTGAAGTCATTATTAAGAAATCAGGGAATTTTACTGCTCCTGGTTTTGATTGTGTTACTTATTCCTTTTTGAGGAAGTATTGGGAAATTATCAAAGAAGTTGTTTGGAATGCTTTGAATCAGTTTTTTACTACTGGGAAAATGAATACAACTTGGAAAGAAACTCTTATTGTATTAATTCCAAAGATCTCCAATCCTATTTACCCCTCCAATTATAGACTAATCAGTTTATGCAATGTTGTTTACAAAGTGGCGGCCAAAATTATTTTAAATAGAGTGCTTTCAGTTATTCACAAGATAATCTCTCCCGAACAAGCAGCATTTATTAAAGGGAGAACTATGAATGACCATATCATGATTGCACATGAGATATTTCACAAGTTCAGATTCTCTAAAAACACTAAAGGATTGGTTTCCTTCAAATTGGATTTGGAACAAGCTTATGATTCTATGGGATGGCCAACATTGGAAAAAGCATTAAGGTACTTTGGTTTTCCATCTATGCTATCTTCCTTAATTATGGAATGTATCTCTAATGCCAAATTTGCTATTATCACTAATGGGAATTATTCAAATTGGATTGAGGCTAATTATGGATTTCGGCAAGGATGCCCATTATAACCTTATATGTTTATTATATGTACTCAATTACTCTCCAATGCTCTTAATCAAAGAGGTGATAAACTTGGAATTAGTATTTCTCATAATGGACCTAGGATATCACACTTGCTATATGCGGATGACATCCTCTTATTTTCTAAAGAAAATGTGAAGGAGGTCAAGGAAGTTAAATACATTATTAATGATTTATGTGAATGGACTGGCCAAAAAGTAAACACAAACAAATCTTGCATTATCTTTGGGAAAGCTGTCAATAGAAGCTTAAAGAAGAAAATCATGAAGATTTCAGGAATTCGTAGTGTTAATGAATTCCATTATCTTGGAACAAAAATTTGTTTGAGGAGATTAATTGCTCAAGACTTTCATTGTATCTTTGAGAAAGCAGTGAAAATGATAAATGTTTGGGGGAGTAAAAATATTTCCTTAGCTGGAAAAATAAATCTTGTCAAAACTGTTTTGTTATCTTACTCCATTTTTCATAGCACTCATACATTGATTCCTAAAAGCACTCTTGAGGAGTTGGAAAAGTTATGCATAAACTTTATTTGGAGCAAATCATTGAATAAGCATGGTATGCATTATCTCAATTGGAAGACTCTATGTTGTCCAACTAGATGGGGAGGAAGAGGTCTTCATTCATGCCTTGAGAAAATCGGGCCTTTAAGAGCTAAAATTGCATGGAGATACAATCAAGAATAAAACTCTCTGCTTCATAAAGTTTTATTTCCTAAATATGGCTCTTTCTTTGAAAATCAGGATTCTTTAAAAAAAGGATCTGCAGCCTGGACCATTATCATGAACAGTAGTGAATTCTTGAAACCGATTATTAGATGGAATGTGGGCAATGGGATTTCAATTAACACTCTTAATGATATTTGGATTTTGGATAAAAATCTAAATAATTGGCCAACCTTTATTAATCCTCAAGTCCTTGAAGATGGTTATCTTGATAAATTCATCATCAACAGTTCATGAAATATTGATTTGCTGAATGAATCCTTTGGTCCTGAACTTGTTATTCTTATTCAACATATTAAAATCAGTGTCAATAAACCTTATGATGAACTGGAGCTAATTTACAGTAGATCTGGAAAATCTATTTCATCTTTGGCTTTTGAAAAATCAATTCAAACTTCTCAGCATGAGGTTTATTGGAATTAGATTAAAGCAGCAAAACTATCTTCTAGAATCAAAAATTTCTGGTGGAGAATTTTTAATAAAGCCATTCCAACATTCTAGTTTTTACAGTATAGAAAATTACAAACATCTGCTATTTTTCCTAGAGGATGCCAAAGAATAGAAGATGTTGAACACATCTCTGTAAAATGCAAAAAACTGGAAGAGGTCTTTAATCTTTTAAACAGATGGGGTTTCGATATTTCTAAGCATAGCTCTTTCTCTGATTGTATTTCTTGGCTATCTATGCATAATACTTGGTTAATCAATTTGTATTGCAATGTTGTTTACTATAATTGGAAGGCCAGGAATAATTTAGTCCACAATGGAAAGGAATCAAGTGGTATGTTTGCAGCCATGGAAGCTATTGAATTGGCATCAATTTGCTTCAATAATGCAGCCTATATCTCGGGTAAATGGGATGTCAACCAGCTTAATAAGCTGTCAAATTATCATTGGCATCCCCCTCCACCCGGTTGGATCAAATTTAATTTTGATGCATCACTTCTTCAATCTTACAAAGGAGGCGTTGGAGGAATTTGTAGAGATTCCAAAGGGAGATTTTTATTAGCATTTGGTTATCCAATTACTCATTGGGATATTTCTAAACATGAAATGCTTGCTGCTACTTCCATCCTTAATTTTTTTAAAGAAGATTTTATGATATATGAAGGTATCATTATTGAGGGAGATAATGCAAATGTTATCAAAGATTTGCAAAAAAAATTGGTTCACAAGATAGATGATTGGAAAGGTACATTCAAGATCTTTAAAAACATTCTTTTCAATTGTATAGATAGAAAATGTAATAAGTTAGCGGATCTTTGTGCTAACTATGCTATTGTTTCTTCTTTCTTTTCAAATTGGTTATTTAAAAATTTGCTTACTTCAAAAATTGCAATACCAAGTTCTTAAGTAGTTACAACAAAAATTAAATGCAGAAGAAAAAAAATAAATTATGAAATATAAAAAACACACTATAACTTCTATAATGGTTCAATCAAAATATGACCTAAGTTCACTCCTAGAAGTCCTCTCTGTGTATTTCATTATTACTATAGTTTCTCTCCTTTTTCCCCAATAATAAGGTGGAGAATCCCTTTTAAAAATTACTTCCACCAAACCTTGTGTGGTGGTGAGTCGAAAGCTTTGTCACCCTCTCGTTGATGATAACGAACATTCAATTATTTTTCTCTCTCCTAGAGAAGGCAGAGAATGTTAGAATTCTTTTTCTCCAACTTAGAGAAGGCAGAGAACCTATACTCCATTCTCATCCTCCTAGTGATGGTAGTGAACTATAAACTCCCTTTTGTCCCTCTTGGAGAAGGTAGGGAACCTTGACTTACAGCTAATGAGATTTTCATGGAGAAAGCCAACAACCTTAGATAGAGACTTGAAAGAATAAGTTGAGACACTTGCATGGAGAAATCATTTGAACCCCTTATACTATTTCTACCTCACACTAAAGTTCTCCCACTTCCTCCCAAAGTTCTCCTAAAACTTCTTCAACAAACTCCCTTTAAAGAATACTTAGAAGTAAAAAAGTTTATGAAATAAGATAATGTGAGATTTTAAATAGAAAGCCTATCAAGAAGCCTTAATTTAATTCAAGAAACTCTAATTATCCAGTACAATCCAAGATCTTGGAGTATAATTAGCTCAAAGTACTTTTATTAGAATTGTATGAAGAGCTAGATGTTGTACGATCAGTTCAAAGAAATTAGCTGATTATCTAGGATGAATTAGAACATCATCTAATATGATTAGTGCAAGTAACATAGATAATCTTCAAGTATGTTAGGAGATCATAAATTATTTTGCCATAAAAGAATCTGGTAGTATAGTAAGTTTGGTCAAATTATTATGTACTATCTAACTTGATCATTTAATCAAAATTAGTTCCCTAATCATAAGATTAATTTACAAAATATTTAATTATTTTTTGAGTATTAAATATTTAACTAGTTTTGTGCATCACCATTTTCAATACCTTGGGGTGCCTCTTTTTAATTGTGAAAATAAGATTTTTCTTTTTGATGATTTAATTACTACTGTGCAAAACAAACTTCTATCATGGGTTTCTAATGTTTTGAGTTTTAGGGGTAAATTAATTATCATCTGTAGTGTTTTTTGCTATTTCTTATTTATATTTTTCAATCTCTCCATCGGACTCAAGCAGTTTGTAAAAGGATTGATATGCTTTTTAATAAATTTTTCTATAAAGGGGCCAGTAGCAATTTTAAAATTATTTGGTCCTCTTGGGAAAAGTTTTGTGGTGTCTTGGAAGAAAGAGCCTTGGGGTGTAAGACTATGAATGATTTGGCTTATGCTTTTTCTTTTAAGTTATGGTAATTTTTTGTCCTAAAGTGAGCTTTTGGACTAATTTTATTGTTGCTAAGTATTGTGTGGGTAAACATTTGACTACTCGTTGTTTTAACCAAGTTGATTCTAAATTTTGGCAAAGACTTTACAAAATTAAAAAGCCCTTTATCTATTAGGGGCTTTGTGGTAGTGACATTTTCTTTTGACAAGATCGTTGGTTGGGAGACCAATCTATTATGGTGGGGTTATCTGGTATTGTCATGGTAGTATAATTATGGCCTTTGATGGTCCTTTACTAAACTGTGATGTTAACAAGGTTGTCATTTTGTCTATGCTATATGGTTTAAGGCATTCTATTTCTCTTGATTTAGCTAATATCTGTATTGAAGTTGATTATAAGTATTGCTTTCAATTTTTTAATTCTATTAAGGAGTCGGTGTGTAATTCTTTTCTTTTTTACTGGTTAGGGATATTAAGAATTTTTTGATCTTTATGAACTACTCTTTCTCTCTTGTTCATAAGGAAGGTAATGTGTCTGCTAATTGGCTTACTAATAGGGGGAGTGGTTTGGAGTGTCTGTCTGACTTTACTATTACTAACCTCCCTTCTCTACTAGGAGGTCTTTTAAGATTAGACAAAATTGGTATGCCTTATGTTAGAACTTAATTCTTGCTATTAGTAGGTATATCGTATCTTATTTTACTTGGTTCTGGGGCTCGCTATCATGTTTTCTCCTATGTCTTGTTCATGTGCTTCTTTCTCTTCATATTATTCTATTTTTATGTGGGTTACATCTTTGTTACTTGGTATTATTTTGTGTCTTCTAGAAT